TGTTGTGATTATGAATATGATGATTCTTCTTCTTCGGCCAAGGCCCTCCCCCTGAAGCCTCGGCCACAAGGTTACTTCTTCCATGTCGCCAAGTTTGAAGGAAACCCCGCGCCAACCTCAGTCGCTGGAAGTAGGCTTCAAGAGTGTGTCTTCTTTCTTCAAAGGTTTCCGGCGGGGCCACTTCTGCTTGGTAGGACTGGTTCTGCCTTCGACTGAACAGCGTCCCGTTTTAAACTCTTACGGTAATTCTGATCCGTCAGCCCTGCGTTCTCACCACGCACGTTGTTGTAGTCTATAGTAGCGCTTACTGTAATGGTTCGTGTAGTTGCAAACTGTTTCGGGCTTCCGGCTTTTCAAAAGCTGCTGATAAGCTTCGGGAAGATCCCCGGAGAAGTTTCATGATCAGTTCTTCAGTTCTTGAAAAGATTTGACCAAATCCTAAGCCCTGAGATTAGGCTAAACCCCATGACGATGCTACCAAGCTTGTCTTAACATTCGCAAGGGTCCAGCGGCACCTTTCTACAGATGCTCGAAACCCCAACCCGGACACCCACGACCCAAGGACCTGAACACGAAACCCTGAGACCCTGGCGCCCTACGGTCTTCAAGCCACTAAGAGCCGCACACCGCAAACCGAAACCTCTGGTTTAGGGTTTAGGAACCCTAAACCCTAAACCGTTCTCCCTGTCTCTCCTCTCTCTCTCTCCCTCTCTCTCTGTCTCTCTCTCGCTCGCTCACTCGCTGAGAGAATCCCCCGAAAGCCCTCGCAGCTTACCTCCAACTGCCTTCTTTAGCTACCCGAAACACTGAACATCCCTATCCAGCAACCGTAAACGTAACTTACCCGCACCGAAGATGTCGAAGCCAGGGGCGCATCACCTGGTATCCGCGGGACTCTGCGTGGCGGCCCCGGCTAAGAGCCGGGCTTTTGATAAGGAAGGTTGTAATCTTTGGGTTTTTTGTGTAGTATTTACATGAATAGGTTGGTGCAATTTTTAAATAAGGGCTTTGTGCGGCTTTGTGAGGTTTGACAAGGGGCTTCGAAGGGTTTCACAGGGGGTGCGCGTGGACGCTTGTTTGTTCTTTACAGGTTGTGTTCCAGGAAGGGCCGAATTAGTTGTTTTAAATATTCAAACATTGGCCCCCTTAGATCCAAGATCCAAGATTGCAGGACAAGTTTCTTGGATCCATCTTGGATCCGGCCGGCCCAATATTTAAATATTTGGGTTTTTAAATCAATATTCAAACGTTGGCGCGCGGCCCTTGCAACGGATCCAGGAAACTTTTGTCTTTCTGCAATCTTGGATCTTGGATCGGGAGGGCCCAATATTTAAATATTCGAAAATATTCGAAAAAAGCCAAACATTCAGATACTGGGCCCCCCTGGATCCAAGATCCAAGATTGCAGAAAAAGGTTTCGTGGATCCATCTTGGATCCGGCCGGTCCAGTGTTTAAATATGTATTTTTTAAGTATCTTAATATTGGCGCGCGACCCTTGGAACGGATCCAAGACACTTTTTCTGCGATCTTGAATCCAGGGGGAAGCTTTTTTCTGCCATCTTGGATCTTGGATCCAGGATCCAGGCGGGGGTGCAATATTAACATGGGTAGTTCTCTAAATTAAGGTCCCTTTTCCGGTCCCCAAGATAGTACGGCACCCTTATAAAAAGGACCCTAACAGAGACCCGAGTTTAGAGAACTACCCATCTAGTAAAGGAAGGCTTGGCATTTTAGTCTTGTGTCTGTCTGGCACATAGTGGAAAACTCGATGGAACTCCACATTTCCACTATGTGGCGAGACAAAGGCCCGAGAGCCCCGCAAATGTGGACTTAGGGTTTAGGGTTTAGGGTGCATTGGGCTTTCCATGTTTCCATATCTGTTCATCTTAATGCTGGGGAGCTCAGATAATAGGGCTCTCAATGTCTATATACTATACCCTACTCTACCATACCAGAATATATTGGTGCCTCTGCTAAATTTTAATCGGCTTGAAATTATTAAACCATGGGAAACGATGCAACAATGTAGTATCCTATACTGTACTGAGTTGGCGCTCGACCAGGCTATGTTTTAATGTAGTAAGTTATACAACAGTACGCCGAGCCCCATTGTATTATACTGTATGGCACCGTATTGGACTGTATTGTATAGTAGTCGACGGTGTACTGGACAATACTTGACAATAGTCATCTATGCTCGAGTGTACTGTATAGCATTTTCCTGTAATGTGCGGTTTACATTATACTATGCTATACCAGACTGCATTACACTATACCACATTATGGAGTCAATGCTTACGACATGTCTTAGTACTAAAGTAAACTATACCATACTGCGCTCTATTAACCATGCTATTCTATACTGTACCCGTTTCCTAAAGTAATACACTTGGCCATGCAATAGTGTATTATCCTACACCATGCTACGGTAGTGCTATACTAGAGTATCGCATGCTATATAGTATATGCTATACTACGCTATAGTATAGTGAAAAAACCAAAACCTATGCTATGGTGTAGTTTACTCCGTTATACCGTACTATATCATATCATAATGTACTGCAATATACTGGACTAGATTTAGGCTAAGCAACACCTTCTACCTTCAATATAATGTATTCATGTTCAACTGTTTTGTTTGATATCAGACTGCGATAACCTATATTTATAATTGCAAACAGTATACGGCATGTTCTATATCATACTATTGTCTGATGAACTTGTGTATACTTCGAAATACTGCACGAGACTTTTCTGTGCTATATTGTGCTAGTGCATTATACCATACTGTATCATACAATGCTATACTATACCCGGCTGTTCATGCTTATGCAGTACGCTCCACAAATGCAATGCCTGGTGACTCATAAACCTGACCGGATTGAAGCCTGACCGGTTTGCGTTTTGGGTTAAGTTTAATACCGGTTCATGAGGAGCAAGTATGCAATAAGATAAGATATATCGAGAACATATCGTAATTTACTGTGCTTCATGAGGCTTCTATAAATTTAAATACATAAATACATGTATATATACATATATATCTACAGCCTTGGAGCCAGGTATTTTACGGATAGAAGTTTGCATAAAGGTAGGTCTTGGAAGGGTTCACCATGACTGCATCTGGACGGGTCTTGTCAATTTTATGTTTTTTCGGGATATGGCTTGTTTCAGCTTCGACTCTTCCATGTTGTGTTCCCGTGTGGAACAAACAAGCGTCCACAGCGTCCTCCTACCAAAGTCATATGGTTTTCTGACAACTAAGGATACCTTATATCGCGGTCCTTGTACTTATACCAAGGATCCTGTCTAATGTCATGTCGGTATTGGGGTCCTATAATAGGTGGGCGATCCGTTTCCGGTGTAGAATGCCACAGGACTGGGAGGTAATATCTAAGCCTGAGAGCCATCAGCCTTCTTCCTGAGGGTTCCTTATTATATCTATACCATAAAGGAGCCCGAAACTGATAAAGGCCCCTAGTTTAGATTGGGGTTGAGGGGTGTTTTGGGCTTAGGGGGCTTCTGTCGTAAAGTTTGCCCCCGGTGCAGACATCGAAGTTGCTTTCAGTTCAGGAGGTGCTGAAGGTTCGGCTGGCGTCCTAGGTATTCGTGATAGCAACAACGGTAGAGATCTGACAGCGATGCTGTGAGTGATTTATGCTGTCGATTGGCTTATCCAACAAGACTCATGTAGGGGCCTTGGTATTGAGCCCAAGGTTTTCTGGTATATTGTTCTGGAACTTTTTTGTGTCCATGCAAGGATATTGATATCAGGGTGTTGTTCCGTTCTTGATTGTTGGATGTTAGCATTCCGAAACTATACTGTGAATTAGGGTCTAGGGTTACTGGGTTTATTAAACCCAAAACCCTAAACCACAAGACCTAATTCCTAAACCCCGAACCAAACTTTGTAGTCACCCTTATAGCAGCCTTTCTTGTATACGCTGAACCCTGTAGTCACGCTTCTTGTCATGGTCGCCCTTGTAGCAGCCGTACAGAGTAACCTTTCTCCCTAAACCCTAAACCCTAAAGCCGAAACCACTAAACCCTAAACCCCTAAACCCCTAAACCCCTAAACCCCTAAACCCCTAAACCCCTAAACCCCTAAACCCCTAACCCCTCAACCCTTGAACCCCGAACCTCTACATGCTGTTCAATCCCGAAGGAAGCTGCCCTTCAAGTGGAACGCCTTGGATTCCGTGGAGGCCCTGGGGATCGTAAGCTGGGAGGCCCCTGAAAGTTGGAGAGCCCTATTGGGGTTCCTTGAAGTAGAAGCCCGAAAGTTGGATAGCCAGTAGCCTCAGCCCTTAAGAGCAATAATGCAGAAGGAAGCCCAGCACTAAGGGTCCTTAGTCCGGCTTCCAGCTTGTTGGAGTTTACTCTAAGCGGCTGACAGGGGCTCCTAAACCCCAGGGGTTCCTGTAAGGATTCCTTCAAGGGCTCTCTCGGTGTTCCTTGAGGGATTCCTTGAAGTGTGTGTGTGTGTGTTTTTTTTTTTAAGGCCTGCTTTGAAGGCTCCTTTAAGGGGTTCCTGGCAGGGTTCCCTTCGAGGTTCCTTTAGCGGCTCACTTCCTATAGTGGGCCTCATGAGCCCTAAACCCTAAACCCTAAACCCTAAACCCTAAAGCCTAAACCCTAAACCCTAAACCCTAAACCCTAACCTTACAGGGCTCCTGAGGTTAGGCTTCCTTGAAGGCCACGAATGAGGCTTAAACACACACCCTAAGCCCTAAAATCAGTCGGAAACGGGCCGTGGTTTGTCTCATCCTCTTTTCATGTCCGACTTGCTGCGACGACTGCCCTGCTCTTGTGGAGGAGTTGAAACGAAGTGCGTTCCCACAACAGGGATTTTTTTTTATAGTATGTTGTAATATATATATATATAGTATAACATATTGTAGTACATGGTAGTCTGTTTTTGTATATTTCAGTATATTGTAATTAATATGTTATAAATGCTTTGTCCTGTGAGTGTCTTTACCGCGGGCCTGCATTGCAGGAGCCGTGGTCCTACGACGGGTGGCGAGGTGAATCTGGTTACCGCTACGATTACAACTACAAGGACCACAATGCCTTCTAAATCCCAAGCCCTAAACCCCCTCAATCCTAAACCCTACTTAAACCCGAAACCCAGGACCCAACTAAAACCCCTTCCCCCGAAACTCGATTACAAGGACCACTTCCAGGACTCTCACGAGAAGTATCCGTCCTGGAGAGATGGAAGCAGGTGCGGGCAGGATTTAGGAAGTCGGTGGCTGTGAGTTTACAGATAATAGGTAGGATTTTTTCTTCCAATACAGCTGCCCTTGCAGAATAGAAGTAGAAGTGCACCTAGTATGCTATAGTATATTTCAGTATGTTAAGGCCTACTCGTAGAATATTAGAATTCTGAGTCCGAGTCTTGAGGCAGGCCCGCATGTAGTAGAAGCCATAAAGTTGGAACATTACATACATTCCTCATGCCCTTAAAGTCAAGTAGAAGGAATCCTACCACAAATCATCCTAAACCCATGTTCCAACTAACCCTAAACCCTATACCCTAAACAATAAACCCTTTTAGGGTAGATTGGCTCGGATTTCCGTCTCTTTTCCAGGAAGTTGGGTGTTGGGTTATCTTCGGAACCTACTCGAGCATCCTATAATACCCCCTCGAATATCCCATAATATAGTGGGATTTTCAATAGTATAAAATACTTATAATATATTACGAAGTATACTACAACATAGTACGATATATATATATACACATAAATATAAATACATATATATATATATAGATAGATAGTACGATATACTGTAACATACTATAACATGCTGTAATATATATGCCCGGACGTAGTAGAATTTACTAGACTATACCCGATGAGTGAAGGATGCAGTAGATGTCAGTGCAGAGAAGAACACATTGCCTGCATGTGTGCACCTTTTTCCGTTGTAATGAGCCCAAATCGTTCTAATTATGAAGAAGGCCCCTAGTACAGAAGCCTAAATAAATACCAATATTGTTCTTTAGGGTTCATTATGTTCATTGTTATAAGTATACTGTAAAGGAGCCCAAAACCCTATTCTAATTATGACGGCGCCTACATGCATGTGGCAGCAGGTGGTTCGGGAAAAGCTCTCAAAAAGCCCGAGCCTGAGATCGCCTGCAGCCAGAAAACATTATAGGATACTGTTCTATATGTTGTGCTATTTGATCGTATATTATCGTATCTTACAGTAGATCATAGTGTGTCATTATCGTGTTTTTGTTTTATAGTATACTTCGAGTATGTTATAGTATATGAGAAGTCTTCAATTTGATTTCCTGGTCCGACTTGCGAGCCCCGGAGCTGGGGGCCTCCTGGTGCTACGGCCCCTGCTGCTGCGTTTATCGCTACGGTTGCTGCTGCCTGCTGCTAAGCTCGTGCTAGAGTCCTGCTCGCCTCTGCTGCTACAAGTCTCAATAACCTCGCCAGGATTTCTAGAACATCAGCTTTGCTGCTTTTGTTTTTCTTTCCGGCACGCATCCCGTTCCCACAGCTTTCGACTCTGCATGCAGGCTGGCTGGGAAAGCGAGTGGACGGGGGAGAGGCTCGCTCTCGGAAGCCGCATTTCACGAGCAAATGCGAACACGCGTAGCTGACGATTGGTACGGAGCAGGAGTATCCAAGACGAACACTTGGGTGACTAATTTAATGTCGACTAACTAATTCCTGCAAGTGCGACGTGAAATTACTGCCCAGACGAGGAGGTCAAAATTCTGGATCGTGTTGATTCCACGAGCATGGCATCAAATGGCTACACTAGCTTTCACCAAGATTGCTCGCGAGCATGGCTGTGATGCAGCTGATGATGATGGTGATGATGATGGTTATGATGACCATTATGAGAGGAAGAGAGGCGATGATCGAGATGACGACGACGATGATAACTACGAAGGAAGGGAGAAGGAGTAGGTAGTGGAGGACGCTGGACTAGAGGACAAACATGTTCATCCTTCGCATGTGAACCATGCTACGAGTCCTAACTGCAGAGTTTTCCTCTCTTTAACGACATCCTTGAACCTTTGCCTCATCATCGTCATCAGCATCGTCATCGTCATCGTCAGCACCAAAAGAGGGCCAGCTTTGCCGTCATCGTCACCATCATCACCTAAAGATCGTCCTCGTTCCTTTCCTCTTTCGATCATGATGGTGATGATGATGATGATGATAGCGGTTCTGACGACGATGATTGTGATCATGATGATGATGATGATGACGGTGATGATGATCATGGTCATCGTCATCGTCAACCCGAATCCGGTCGCCATTCATCATCGTCATCATCATCATCATCATCGCCATCACCGTCATCGTCGCAGCTTGGTCATGACCAGCTTCATCAGCACAGCCGAATGCTGGCACACCCCAGACCAAAGCCACCTGCACAACCCCTACTACACTTACCCCTGTTATTGAGAGAGCACAGTATACTGCACAGCCCTATTCTAGTTCTCAACACCCCCTTGCTGTCTTCGGAAGCGCGCCCTTGAACATCCTTGCCAGGAGCCCGGCCCTACAGGAGAGCGAACCAGAGCCTGAGGCGCCACGGTGGGGAGAGAAACCCCTTATAAGAACCCTTGCAGGAGAGCACTTGAGGTCACCCTCACAGGAACCCTTTAAAGTAACCCGTTCAGGAACCCGTGTAGTAACCCTTAACATCCTGGGTTAATGCTTTACATCTACCTTCTCCCGCCCTGCCACATGTCGGCTGCTGCTGCTGCTGCGGCTGCTGCTGCTTCTCTTCCTCCTGATGCTTGTGCTATCTTGTACATCTACCCCGAAAATACTGACCACTTCACTACCGCTCAAGCTCGTATTGGGTGACCTGGGAATTGCAAGGCTAGTAGGCACTGCATCGTAAGGCATCTTCGCAGGATGTATTGTGACTTACCCCACTACGCCGGCCACTCCTTTTCGTTGCTTGTGCTGTTTTTTCAGAACGCCCGTGCTCCCATCGTAGATTGACTATTCCTGCCTGAACGTGGGCGAGCGTCGGGTAGAAATACAGTGCTCGTAGCAGTAATGGCAGAGTGGTTTTGTCACTGTGCTCGCCGCACCACTGGCAGTTGCCGCAGTACCACTGGCGCGTTTCCCGTGCTGGTGCAATCAGCACAATTCAAGTGCTGGTAGTACCCATGATGCTTTCAGTAGCGACGTGTACGCAGTGATGGAAACAGAACTAGTACTCTTAGCAAAGGCAGGACAACCAGACAACAAACTATGTATGGCCTCACCCAGACCCTAGACCCTAAACTGATAGTTTCTCCAGCTAGTCCCTGGTCAAGGAGCTACCGCTCCAGCGGCGCAAGTTGATGGACGACGATGGGAACCTTGTCTGCGAGTACTACTCGGGATTTGTTGTGCCTGCCTGCTTGTCTGTCTGCCTGCCTGCCTGCCTGAGGGTCTGTACGTTTGCTGCATGTGTGTCCCTGCCTGCCTGCGTGAGGGTCTGTACGTTTGTTTGCATGTGTGTCGGTCGGTCTGTCTGTCTGTCCGTCTGCCTGTCTGTCTGTCTGTCTGTCCGTCCCTGCGTCAGTCCGTACAGTAGGTAGGTAGGTAGGTGGGTAGGGTAGGGTAGGGTAGGGTAGGGTAGGGTAGGGTAGGGTAGGGTAGGGTAGGGTAGGTAGGTAGGTAGGTAGGTAGGTAGGTAGGTAGGTATGTAGGTGTTTATGCAATTCATGCATGTATGTATGTGCGACCTCGCCCAGCAGGACGTCAGCGGGCCACAAGAAAGAGGCCGGCAAACATTTGCTGGGAATTCTGCACAAGGGCCAGGAGCAAGTTGGTGGCGCGTGCCTGGGCAGCAAGCGTTCTACGACGTAGCCTTTAACGCAGCCACTGTGCCCCAAAAAGGTTCTATACGATCGTCGCATTGAGCAGTACCGGCAAGATCAACGCTGCTCCTACACCCGGTCCACCACGACTGAGCCCGAATCCTAAACCCCTAAACCCTAAACCCCCAAGCCTAAACCCTAAACCCTAAAAAAAGTTCTAAACCCTAAACCCGAAACCCTCAGGCCCTGCAATCCCTGCACCGCGGATAGCGCCCTGCGTCTCAGATCCGCTGCACTCTCCGTCTTGGATCCTGAGACCTGAACCCCAAACCGCCCCACCGCCCAAACACTGAACCCTAAGCCTTAAACCCCTAAACCCCACATCCTAAACCCTATATCCTAAACCCTAAACCCTAACGCCTGAAACCCTAAGGCCTAAAACCCTAACCCCAGAACCCCAAACTCGAAGCCCTCGGCCCCCGACCGCCGAAACCCAAGCGCCGCGGCAAGGGCGGAGGCGACGGAGTCCATCCCGGAGCTCGCCTCCACTGTAGGCCTCCCTGGGTTTATAGGGCTCTTTGAGACCTCTTTGAGGGGTTCCCCCCATGTTTCTGCAAGACTTGTTTTTTGCAAAGGCGCCTTTCTTCTTTTTTTGCAAAGGCTCTTTTTTTTTGCAGACACCTTTAAATAACAAGTTGGGGTTTAGGGTTGCAGGGTTTACTGTTTTCGCAGGACTGTTTAGGGTTCAGGGTTCGTCTAGGCGTCTTTGGAGAGGCTCCTGAGCTTGAGTTATCGGTGCTTAGGGTTTAGGGTTTACAGGTTTTAGGGTTAATAGGGTTTAGGGTTGAGGTTTTAGGGTCTAGGGTTAAGGGTTTAGGGAGTTTAGGGCTTTCAGTGGCTTTCAGGGCTCAGGATTTGGGGTTTAGGGTTGAGCTGCTGGCCGTCGTCTGGTGCCATTTTGGGCAGGTGCCCTCCGAAGGAGTCCGGAGACTTAGTGGAGTAGACAAGCTCTTTCCTATTAGGGGGATCCCTTAGAGGGGACCCTTCTTAACCCTACTTGCGGCTCTTAAAAGGGACTTTATTGAGAGGGTCTAGATCCC